TTTTGCTGTCTATGTAAAATTTTAATATACCACGTAGATCATATGAAAAATGATCTACGGACACCCTACCCTTAACTCAAAGATAAAATAGTCTTAAGTCAGTATTTAAAAATAAAAGAATACTAATACTCTTGCTTGGTTATAAAATAATGTATATAGACACAAAGGGTTTAAATAGATAACCCCTTAGTTGAGTTATAGATATAATATTTAGTGTAGAACTTAGTAATAAACAAACTACTTCAATAGGCAACCAAAAGTTGCATATGTGGCTAGTTGTACTCTTCAAATATGTATACAGTATGAGTATATCATACTGTAAAAGTTAAACTATAATCAAATAAAAAAACGTGACAAAGAGGTCACCTGAACATCAAAAAAAAAAAATAATAATTCTTAAAATCGCAACCCACTCCAACCTTAAACTGGAGTATAACCCGGACCACTTATTTGCGCAAGTAATACAAACCCTAAAAGGAAATAGCCAATCGGAGAGCACAAAATTTGACTATTCCGGATCAGCCCGACATGAATTCCGGACACACGCGAAAGAAGAAAAAAGCGAAAATACTCAAAACTCGACCTTGGCGCACTAATTAAAAATGTCGGAAACGAAATTTTGCATATAATGGGCAACAATCTATTGCCCTAACCCTAAATTTCTATCTTTACGCACTTAGCGTTAGTTTATTTACAAAATTCGATTTCCTTTTTGGTTTGTGTTACGTAAAAGCTCCGGAGTATGTTGCTCCATTAACAACTCTATATCTGTATATACGTATCGAATATATACTGTATAACGAAACTTTTAAGGTATATAGCCCAGATTTCCGTTATATCGATATATAGATGATTATATACGTATATGTGCATATGGATAGAATTGTAAATCAGTCAACATATGAAGTAAGCCGAAAAGCAATAAATAATATATTTTATATAAAATTGAGATAATTGTGACATTTGTTTCCCTTGGTTTTGTCTATGGAACAATTAATTTACAATAAAAATTAATATCATTTTAAAAATTGGTCAGATCTAAACCAGATCACTCAAGAAGAAGCAACTTTTGTTTTTTTGAATAATGTTTTTGTTTTTTTGGTTTGCAATATATAATTTGTCTTTAAGACTAGTTCTAAATAAAAAAATTCCAATATTTATAACCCAAAATTTAAAATGATAGTATGAATTTTTTCAAACAAACGAGATGAAGAAAAATAAACAAGGAACGGATGCAAAGGGAACAAAGCTCAACAATTATAATACAAAGAAATTACGAAGACGAAATGTGCAGATAATTCAAATAATAATTAAGGAGGTACAATTTAGAGTGTCCGCAATTATCGTTAAATTAGCAAATTCTGCGGTGACGTATAAATAATACTTTAAAAAACAATATTACAACAAAAAGAAAATTCTAATTTGAACACAATAGACTATATTCACCAATAATTTTTTATTCTGCTCGCAGAATTCTGTACAAATTCTGCGCAGATTCTGCCACCGCAGTGCCCTGGACACTCTAGTACAATTCAAAAGTTTAACAAATCTAAAATACGATTTGAACATTTAATTGAATATTATTTAAAAACTAAAATTCGATTACGTAGGAACTCGCATATTTCCATCGTTTAATAGGTTTTCAACCCAGTATAAGATGATTTCCATTGAACGTGCGGTCCAACTATCATCCTTAACGACCTCATAAGGTAACCAATCGCTATAAGAGTATGGTCCTTGATTATTATCAAGAACAAATACAGAAGTAATGATACCAAAGAAGTAAATGACGAGAGTATATAATGCAATGGTTACAGTATTGTTAACCATGGCATTGCGTTGAGCGACATTCATATCATTATTTCGTGGAACAAGAGCCCTAGATGATTGTGCATTTTCAGCCCTTTCTGAAGGTGGCTGTTTAAATATAAAGTCAGTTATGAAATATAAAGTCAGTTATGAAATTTAAAGTCAGATATGAAATTTAAATGCAAAGTCAAATATGAAATTTAAATATAAAATTTAATAAAATTTAATAAAATAAAATTATTTATACCTCAATTTCCGACACATGGTTTGCTATTGGGCAAAATAGAAATGAATATAAGAATATAATGATGTATACATATTTCAAGGGTTGATAAGATTTGATGAAAAATTCATCAAACTAACCTTTCCGCCTATTTTTGCGAGACGTTTGACGTGATAATCTCCTTGTTAAATCAGCACTATCACCATCCAAGCTGTTACGTATTTGTCGATCTCGTCTATCGTGTGGAGAAGGTAAATCTCGGTTTCTTAAAATTCCTTCAATCAATGCATATTGCACTCCAAGCTCAGATGATAATATCTGATATTGCGATTCTACATCTCTACTGCCTGTAGAGTTACGTGGAGAATTGTTTGCATCTGTTGCTTGTCGACGAACTGATCTTTGACCGTTTGATCTTCGAACGTGATCCTCAGCGCCTCTAGATTTCTCCACTTCACCGGGTCGCGAGTTTAAAGATTCATCATCGTTGGTTTTACGTGGCCGAGGTTCCTAGATAATGTGAAATATAAATAAAAAGTTAATTAATTAATTAATTATTAATTAATTATTAATTAAATGAATATATTTATTTATTAATTATTAATTAAATGAATATATTTATTTATTAAATAAATAGAAACTAGAGAATATTTACCTTGTTCGATCGCCTAAGTTCATCCGTGTTTGAATCGGAACCTTGTTGCTCCTCGGATATTGAAGCAAGAGCGGTGTCATGCAATTCAGCACGTAAATTCTAAAGTCAAGAATTTTTAATTAGCCATTCGGAAATATATATATATATTAAATATAAGTATAAGAATAATGATTGTTATTATACCTTTCCAGAACCAACGTCTTCTACATCAAATTCAGTAAGCTTTTGTTAAGGATTATAAAACAAAGCATTATAAAACCAAATTATAATATAAAATAAAGTATTATAAAACAAAGTCTTAACCAATTAGTATTACAAAGAAAATACAAAGGATATTTTTTATTGCTAATAGCACTTCCTTTCCGTATTTCATCCAAATCAAGCTTCAGTTTGTCAATTGTCTCTTTGAGGTGCATGTTTTCATTTTTTTGTTCTTCGAGTTCAATCTCTGAAGCTTGAGCAGAAGTTAAATCTTGCTCTAATTTATATAAATGATGTTCCAAACGTTCGCGCTCATCGAACCACTATTAATAAAGATGAATTACTATAATTATTATTAAATTGAATAACAAAATAAGGATTTATACCTTTTTTTCTTCAGAAGACATAGCATTAAGATTCTTTTGCGTATTAGATAACTCATCCTCTTTGATCTTGACAAGATCCCTGAGTTTCTCCGCTTCCTCTGTAATTAATATATTAGAAAGTTATTAAAATAATATACAAAAGTAATCCAACATTCGCATTCACATTCACATTCATTGTAAATACCGCGTTGTTCTTCGTATTGTTTTTTCAATGCATGATAGAGTTGCTGTTGGCCATTTAAATTCTTTGCTATCACATGAATTTCACCTTCCAACTAAAAAGTAATGCGATGAAATTAAATATATTATCTAAAATATATATACATGAGTTGTAAGTGGGAACGGAATTTTTAAGAAATTCCAAAATCATTTAAATTAGGCACCCATTTACAACATAAGAGTGTCGTTAAAAGAAAACCCGAAAATTTAAATATAAGTCATATTTAAATTTTCGGGTTTCTTTTAGCGACACTCATATATAAAAGTAAAAGGAAATATAAATGATAAAAAAATTGTACTTGTGCAATTTGATGTAGGTTTGTCTTTTCTTTATTTTTATGGTCTTGAATTTCGCGCTTTTTAGCCACAAGATCAGCTTTTGTCTCTTCCAGCTTATGCTGAAGTTCTTCAATACGATCTTCGTGTTGACGAGCAACAGAAGCCAAATGACGCTCAGATTCTTTGAGTCGTTTCGTAAGGTCAACAGTGTGACGGTATAATCTGCTGAGTTGGACAGCAGGATCATCGTTTGTCTATTGACAAAGAAATAATAATGAGAAATTTTATTTTTAAATATATGTTAGGATAAATAAATTTATGTCTTACAGGTAATAGTTGGGAAACCGTATCATCAAATCCGCCACTTCCCTCGAATGACATTTCATGATCATCGGATGTATCATAATGTAGTTTTGAGAAATTAGAGCCCAGCACGCCGCTGGGAGAATCATAATATCCAGACGACATTCTTCTGGAACGGGAGGCTGCACTAGTACTTGAAGAGCCATATTCTTCCTATGAATTACAGTATGAATTACAGTGAGAATTAATTTGAATTACAGTTTGAATTACAGTATGAATAATATAAATTTATAATAAAATATATTTAAATATATATTTAATATATATTAAATAGGAAACATATTTTATTTATCAAGATTAATAAGAACTTACATCTATTTCAGTAGAAATTGTTAAGGCTTCTCTACTTTTATGAGTACGTGGTGAAGGACGATTAAGGGGCCAAGCAGATCGTATAGAACCATATTTGATCTTACTTTTGGTTGGCTGCTCTGAAACAACATTCGAACTAGAGGACGAAGACGCTGTAACATTGGTTGGAGGGGTTTTGAGTTTAGTCACAAGTTGAAGAACATCATCAACAGAAACCTCCATATCAGGATTTTGTTCGCAGAACATTTGAAGAGTAGTCCGGTCTTCATCTTTCAACAAAATAGTTTTTTGTTCGGATTCGAAAGCTTCAATTATCTTGAACAGGTCTTTAGAAGCAATTCTCCCAAGGCCAGATTTATCGAAGGGTGCAAACATTTGTTCCAGTTGAACTTTTAGAGAAGCGTTATCCGTCAACTAATAAATAATTAAGTGTTATAAATGGCATTTAGAATTCGTATAAACACTAAGAAACAACTGCAATTATCATTAACAGAATTGGTTAAATGAAAAAAAATATTCAAGGAAAAAAGAAATTAAGTTTCCGTTTGATGTTGTAACGAACCTAAGTGCAAGCAAGCACAAGAATATTGGAAAATAAAGTAATAGAAAAGCAAACGAACTAAGTAATGTTTTTGTTAACCTTTACTAACCCTTTCAGTTTCCTTTTGCTCATCGGAGGGAGGTTGCCCGTCCATTTTTGGCGGGCTAACATGATCCATCTTAGTGCAGTATATTGGGTGGGTATGTCCGCTTATAAAAGAAAGTTAACACAAAATATTATAAAAGAGGGAAATGTGTTTAGCTTGTAAATATTAGCTGATGCCTTTCACCGGTTGACTCTACAATGTCAAGTAAAAATCGTCGTAGCCGGTGCGGAGATTGAAAAGGCGAAAGCTACCAAATTTGATTATAAAGGAATTTATTCAGCGTTACTATTTCTAATTGTCGTGTGATTTACAGTATTTAAATATAAAGCATATACTGAAAAGGAGGGAAGGTGGCGAGAACAACGTTGGAAAAAGGTGATGAATATAAGTCACACAAGCAGAAGAGAAGGAAATAATCTTACTTGGTATTACCAACGTTTCAAAAAAAAAAATAGCTTATAATAATGTACGTACACTTTGTACGGTGATTGTGTACGTACCCTCTTAAATAATGGTACGAGCGCAAAAGTATTTCTGTGCGGAAATTTAGTAGTATTGTGCAGGGAATCATGCGTGCGTGAATAAGCATATATATTACAAAGTTTTTCGAACTGCATTAAGGTCACATGATAAAATAGCCGGAATTAAAAAATCTTGCCTAAATTGTTCAACTCTACTTAACGTTTAATTTTGCATACAGTACCCTATACATAATCAATACACCAATACAATGCACATGGATTTTAGAATGTCAACTTCAATTATATAGAATTTATACATAAGCTTATATAAAAATGTAAAAACAAAAATATCTCTAAACTAACCCGGCTGGGTTATGAAAACTAATTAGTTAACTTTGTATGGAATTTAAATTAGTTTATTTGACAATCCTGTCAACCAAGACTTTATTAGTTTATTAAATTTCCA